CAGCAGATGAAACTCGGCCAACCACGCTTGCCTCACAAGTGATGTCTCACCTCTGTATAATGCCGGGAACAGACTGGGCTGAGATGATCTGTCTCCACCGGCCCGTCGCCGTCGCTCTCCAGGGAGGCTAATTATGGGATTGAGAGAGTCAGATCAACCGGATATCATGACAATGCTTTGTTTTCATGAGTTCTGTGAGGTAGGACAAAAGTGACATTGGAGAAGGATGTAAAGATAGGGGATAATGAACACTTGGGCTCTGTTCCAAACATAGTGAACTAAATTGCATGCCAGATTTGGAATGTTCTGCATATACAGAAACAAAAATTCTGAACAGAAAAAAATATACAAAAATGGCCAAAAATATATTTGTAATTTTTATATATTAAAACATTATTATATTTATGTAAAATATATTTTCTATCAATATTTTTTCCTTGCCCCTGAAATACATTTTGAAATATATTTTGGTTCATGAAGTTTGAAACTAAATATATTTTCAATTCCAAAATAAAAAAAATATATATTTATTTGAGCTTAACTGTTTACAGCATTTACCTTATCTAAAAATATATGTATTTGACCAGATGCCTACTTAGGCAGCTTTCTAGGATTTGGAACAGAGACTAGATCTGATATTAACCTAAGTTATGATTCTTGTTGTTTGTGTGATTTTTCACTCTAGATGGAAGTATAAAGGTCTGCGCAAGTCATTATTTGAGCAAAAGTTTAGATTCCTTGAGCTCTCAGCAACTGATTGACAAGATAGTTTCACATAATATTTTTTCCTGTTTTTGCCATCGTTTTTTTTTCAGTTCTTAGTCACACTTTCAGACGTATGCGTGTGCGTGTAAGAGCGAGAGAGATAATTGTATAATCATCCTAATTTAGGTGCTCAGTTATGTGTGGAAAAGAGCACAAAATCCATGAATGTACTTATAGTATATCTCCAGAGATATTATGTGTATATTTCATAGAGTATATATCTGAGAGTTTGTGCCTGAAGTAATTCAGAGAGGGATATTTTATACACAAGGAGCAACTAATGAGCAGAGAAATGAAAAACATTGAGGAATAACGTTAAAGGTGCACTCTTTATTTCAAATTTATTTTATTGGATTTTTCAGCACAGAACATCAAATTAATAGATACAAACTTGGATTTTATGAAATTAACATTCTGCACTATTAATACCCCAATAAACACCACTCTCAAACAACTACCTATATGCCCATGAAAAACAACCTAATGTTAGTGTCCTAACAAGCAAACAAACCTTAAAAAATTACAAAGAATAACATAGTAACACACACACACACACACACACACACAACTACTGGCCGGGATGCTTAAGCTCCAGTTTTAACCTACAAATGATTTACTTGCAGTTGAAAATTAAAGTAAGTACTTTTGCATCAAATACAATTGCACACATCACCTTTAAAGAGTTATATTATTTATTTATATTATGTAAATGTCCTCATTTTAGGGTCTATTCAATGTGGGCGTTTCCATCTGGACCAAGTCATTTTTAGAGTATTTTCTCATCTTCAATATGTCACTAAAATATACTCTGTCAGATCTAGAATGATTTGTAGCAGGTGTTTTTGAGTTAGAATGCATGATAATTCACTAATTGAGATGATTATTAGATAGAACATATGCTGTACAGGTGACGCAGGTGATTTAGCAACTTACAGTTCCAAATTTTGGGGTCGTTTTTAATCAAAAATACAGTAAAAACAGTCAATTAAATGTGAAATTATTACAATTTTAAATAACTTTTCAGTTTTAATGTTTTAAAAATTTAAAGTGTATTTCTATTTTCTTTTATTTTCTTTTCTTTTCTTTTTCCTGTTTAGATTAAAGATTATTTAGGATTCTATAAAGTAAAAAAGAAGCATTTATTTGAAATATAAGTCTGAATAATTTGTTTGAATAATTTAATGCATCCTTGCTGAATAAAAGTAGAAGATAGCACTTGATCATGTAGACAGAATTTCTTTCTTACATTCATTAACTATTATATGGACCTTGGGGAAAAAGTAAAATGTATGATGTGACCCTTTGAAAGGAAAGCCAGCCTTGGAAACCTGTGGGACACCTGCTGTAACTCATACAGCACAGATGAATTCACAGACTCTTTTTGTGTGTCACTGCCTTGATGAGCTTCATTTCAGACAGGAGAGGAAGACCGCATTTCTGAATCTTAAGCTTATGAAAAGGCTTCTTTCTCTCTGTGTCTCTCTGTTTCTTCCTCTTCGCACCAGACAGGATTTTAACGTCTAAACAGCCTTTGTTCTTCAACAGTTAGTTTCATATCTTTCCAGGCATAGCTGTAATCTATGAAACTGAATGTTTTAGAGTGATATCACAAGCTGTGAGGATGCATTTGCTTCAATTTGAAAGAACCACTGCTGTGGTAATATTTTATTTTGTTTATTTAGATTAACCATGACAGTGAACAGTTGGAGACAGGAGAACTTGAGGACACCGTGAATGTATTTTTAGGTGAGACTGCTGTTACACTTTTTACTCCAGTGAATCTCAGAGTATGATCGTTCAACTTTCTTGAAAATTAATGGCTTCTGGTGCCTTTGTCAGTGCAAATTAGTGCCAGGGTGAATGTGCCAAGTCTATTTGCTTCCATAATGCATGTTTCTCATATTATTTTGAATGATTCATTAGTGCATGTTATTCCCAATAAAACAAATTGTTATGTGAAATGACTTTACTTTTTGGCTAATGGCTTTTACTTTTTAACTCCTCCCATTCCCAGTTCTCTCGATTCAAGGTGAATTAAATAAAACCATGTCCAAATTGTTATTGTTAAATATTGTTTTTTTTGAAAGGTAATGCATCATATTATAAGGTAAATATGTGTTTGGGTGTTTCATGTTAACTTTAAAACCATGGACATTTATGTGCAAAATAAATGGGGTCCGTTATGAAATTACCAGGTCAACCCATTGTCATATGCTGAGATTCCTCTTGGGACACTTTAACTGTTCAAGGGCTTTGTGTGGGTGGCCTGTTGAAAAGCTGATCTGAGAAATAGTGACATATTCTTGTAAGGGAAGGTTTTGAGAGAGAGGTAAACTAAAGAGAGCTTTTATGTTTGCTTTCTTGCTGTTCTATTTGGGCTAGACTGTCTGAGTTTCTCAGAAGAGTAGCAGGATCCCTTTGAAAACCATAAAAATATTTTGTTTTGATCAGATCTGGTCCTATGCAGTTGTATAAACAGATACAGTCACACATATTTCCAAGCTCAGTGACTGACCCATGAGTCGGAACGGAGAGTTGTTGTTTTCCTTCCTACAGCATCAGGGATTCTATACCTTCATCCACACGTCCAAACCTGATCCGGTGAGCAAATCATCAAGTAAAAGGAATCCTCCAGCATGCAGAGTTGTGTGTACCTTTCTGTTAAAGTTCAAGCAAAGTTTATAGTTTAAATGTGTGGACGAGTCACTTAGTACATTATTTTTCTTTCTAGGCCATGCTGTGAATGTTCCAGCACGACAGGGAACGATCAAATAGGTCTTTTTGTCCTGGCAACCTGTGCTTAAGGGGACATTATTGGCTATTTGGCTGCAGGAAGGAAATGGTAAGAACTATCATTTTTCCTCTTCAGTCATCAGCATCTCTGAGCGTTGCACATGTATTTTACCCTTCAAAAACATTCTGATGACCAAGACAGCTTGAAATTCTCAACATTTGTTGTGCTTACATGAAACTAGGTTCATGTAACATGCTATAATTTGGTTATTTACTGTTTTTATTGATCAATTTAAAATGATGTGAATTAAAGGTATGTTGGGGTGTATGAATGTATGTATGTTGGGGTGTATACACATGAATTAAATGTATGTTTACCAAATCCTAAAACTTTATTTCTAAGTTTAAATGCCAGATTACAGATGTTGTGCTTATGTATATATATATATATATATATATATTGTTTGTTTTACTAATATCCAATGATAATTAATGACACTGCTTGTGTGTTGTACATCCCTCTAGGATCACTAGGGTGGAAAGGGGATGTGTCTCCATGTCTCTCTTTCTGCTTCAAATAGCATGATTGACCTATGTCAGAATGTTCTGCTCAGGTGAACTGAACACAAGGACTCTCGGGTGGGTGTCAAGAGTCATGGGTCAGAGAAAAAATGTTTTTCGGAGTGACATTTGAAAAACAAAATATAAAAAAACAAAACTCCATATGCACCATTGTGCAACTGCTTTAAAACTGCATGGAAAGCAGCCTGTACACATATAGTACACAAATATTTTAAAATGTAATTTATTCCTGTAAAGCTGAATTGTCAGCATCGTTACTTCAGTCTTCAGTGTCACATGATTTTCTACTCAAAAACATTTTAACATTTAAAATTTCTTTACAGCCCCTTTGAACAATTTAATGTGTCCTTGATAATTAAAAGTATTACAATTGTTACTGATAAATATGTGGTATGATAAAATACATCTCACGTGTGTTTTTTAACACTTAGTGCTCCATGCTGACCAATGGCAGATTTTTTTTCATTTGTGGTGAATCTTTTGCAGTAAAATTAGCAGTACATGGGAAAGGAGACCAGAGGCCATTTTTTTTTAATGGTTGTCAATGGAGGAGAGGCTTCACTACGCTGAATAAACAGCTTTTTAGAGGAAATGGCTTATCATTTAATGAATCGACAGCCTATCTGCTAATCTTCAACATGTTTTACACTAAACAATATTTTTGGATTGAACTATTTTTCATTCTCATTCATTCCTATGGGATCCGTAAACGGTGACTTGAGTGTCGCACAACTCTGACTGAAATTCAATGACGTCAAGGCTGCAATGTTATTACGGCACACGTGATCCAAGTTAGCCGTAACGCTTTCTCCAATAGTAAGTAATACAGACCCTCTCATCTTCCTATAGTAAGATAATCTCTGGAACCACCCATTTCTCCTTGCCTTTAACAGATGACATCATGATCCAGGAAGTGACATCAGTTTGGAGGGAAAACAACACAAACATCACCAGTAAGTAACAGCAATGAACTGGATGAGTTTAGTGAGGTTTTGTTTCACTGTAAAACATCCATCTTGTTTAATATTAGTGATTGGAGAAACTTTGAAACTTCGAATCAATTGAACCAATTGCTTTGCAAAATGATTCACTGTAGCGAAGTCCTTGAAATGGCACACGCTGATGAGTCCTGCAGCAAAAACCCATTCCAAATGTTTTATTGAAAGTATAATATATTAAATGCAATTACAAAATCATCACATACTGTTAAATATGAAGTGTATGTAATGCGTGCTATTTTATTAGCGTGCAGGGTTTGTTGTGTTTGTTTTTCCTTAATTTTAATTTAACACAAAATGTGTCTCATTGTCAAATGTCGCATGTCTACAAATTTATAAAACTGATCTGAGATCAGGTAAAAACCATTCCAAACTGGTTCAAACCCTCGTTTACTGAAATCACATGACTTTGGCAGTTCAATACAAGCTTCAAACAACTGATTCAAACAAATGATTTGCAAAGTTTTGAAGCTTCACTAAGAACTTCGAAAGCACCCATCACTAGTTTGATATAACTGTTAAATTATGGTCAAAATATGAAAAAAAAAATCACAAAATTGCATTTCTGAACAGATTTCTTGATTCTTACTCATCATTCACTTTCTTTTTCTCTCCACTCCAGTCCATAACTCTGTCTCTCCAGGGCTTTATATGTTGTCAGGCAATCAAGCGTTTATTTGGGCCACTCAATCTGCAGGTAAGACTTTTCATTGCATGTCTATAGCCTTTGTTTTATTCATCTGGGCACATTTCACAAAGGACAGCTGGTTAAAAATTAATCCTGTCTCATGCACCTTGATTCCTGGTGTAGGAATGAGAATGTCAAAATGAAAGAAAGTTACAATAAACCATGATGTTTCCCGCTGAGACTTGCGCGCTTCCGAGGCCTCGACTGATAAAGCTCAATCATTCATGCAATCCGTGGACCAAAATACAGCAAGCTCTCCAAAACAACAGCATCACTTATTCAACGGCTTCCATTCCTGGGTTAGATATCAAAATTCTGACAACTCAGAAGATCACTTTTCAAAGCTAGCAGCTTGTGTGTAGGATCAGCCCAGCTGTCATTTTACCTGCAGCTTTTAGACCAGCGTGAACCCATCGACGCCGCTTGCGTTCGGTTTGTTACCTGCACACCTTTTCAGACAAGAGCGGAAAATAAATGTGAGCTACACAGACAAATGGACAAACCGTTATCGTGCACCATCAAAGAGAGAAGAATAAAGCGAGCATAGACGACAGACTCTGTAAATCAGAGAATGATGGCCAATCATTTTCTCAAAGCTCTTTTCAATGGAACGGCAATGAACCTTTTTGAAGAGGCGTTATGGTCAGTTAGCTGTTTTCTATTTGGAAAAGCAAAAACATTTTAACATTTAAAATTTCTTTACAGCCCCTTTGAACAATTTAATGTGTCCTTGATAATTAAAAGTATTACAATTGTTACTGATAAATATGTGGTATGATAAAATACATCTCACGTGTGTTTTTTAACACTTAGTGCTCCATGCTGACCAATGGCAGATTTTTTTTCATTTGTGGTGAATCTTTTGCAGTAAAATTAGCAGTACATGGGAAAGGAGACCAGAGGCCATTTTTTTTTAATGGTTGTCAATGGAGGAGAGGCTTCACTACGCTGAATAAACAGCTTTTTAGAGGAAATGGCTTATCATTTAATGAATCGACAGCCTATCTGCTAATCTTCAACATGTTTTACACTAAACAATATTTTTGGATTGAACTATTTTTCATTCTCATTCATTCCTATGGGATCCGTAAACGGTGACTTGAGTGTCGCACAACTCTGACTGAAATTCAATGACGTCAAGGCTGCAATGTTATTACGGCACACGTGATCCAAGTTAGCCGTAACGCTTTCTCCAATAGTAAGTAATACAGACCCTCTCATCTTCCTATAGTAAGATAATCTCTGGAACCACCCATTTCTCCTTGCCTTTAACAGATGACATCATGATCCAGGAAGTGACATCAGTTTGGAGGGAAAACAACACAAACATCACCAGTAAGTAACAGCAATGAACTGGATGAGTTTAGTGAGGTTTTGTTTCACTGTAAAACATCCATCTTGTTTAATATTAGTGATTGGAGAAACTTTGAAACTTCGAATCAATTGAACCAATTGCTTTGCAAAATGATTCACTGTAGCGAAGTCCTTGAAATGGCACACGCTGATGAGTCCTGCAGCAAAAACCCATTCCAAATGTTTTATTGAAAGTATAATATATTAAATGCAATTACAAAATCATCACATACTGTTAAATATGAAGTGTATGTAATGCGTGCTATTTTATTAGCGTGCAGGGTTTGTTGTGTTTGTTTTTCCTTAATTTTAATTTAACACAAAATGTGTCTCATTGTCAAATGTCGCATGTCTACAAATTTATAAAACTGATCTGAGATCAGGTAAAAACCATTCCAAACTGGTTCAAACCCTCGTTTACTGAAATCACATGACTTTGGCAGTTCAATACAAGCTTCAAACAACTGATTCAAACAAATGATTTGCAAAGTTTTGAAGCTTCACTAAGAACTTCGAAAGCACCCATCACTAGTTTGATATAACTGTTAAATTATGGTCAAAATATGAAAAAAAAAATCACAAAATTGCATTTCTGAACAGATTTCTTGATTCTTACTCATCATTCACTTTCTTTTTCTCTCCACTCCAGTCCATAACTCTGTCTCTCCAGGGCTTTATATGTTGTCAGGCAATCAAGCGTTTATTTGGGCCACTCAATCTGCAGGTAAGACTTTTCATTGCATGTCTATAGCCTTTGTTTTATTCATCTGGGCACATTTCACAGAGGACAGCTGGTTAAAAATTCATCCTGTCCCATGCACATTGATTCCTGGTGTAGGAATGAGAATGTCAGAATGAAAGAAAATGACAAAGCCATGATGTTTCCCGCTGAGACTTGAGCGCTTCCGAAGCCTCGACTGATAAAGCTCAATCATTCATGCAATTCGTGGACCAAAATACAGCAAGCTCTCCAAAACAACAACATCACTTATTCAACGGCTTCCATTCCTGGGTTAGATATCAAAATTCTGACAACTCAGAAGATCACTTTTCAAAGCTAGCAGCTTGTGTGTAGGATCAGCCCAGCTGTCATTTTACCTGCAGCTTTTAGACCAGCGTGAACCCATCGACGCCGCTTGCGTTCGGTTTGTTACCTGCACACCTTTTCAGACAAGAGCGGAAAATAAATGTGAGCTACACAGACAAATGGACAAACCGTTATCGTGCACCATCAAAGAGAGAAGAATAAAGCGAGCATAGACGACAGACTCTGTAAATCAGAGAATGATGGCCAATCATTTTCTCAAAGCTTTTCTCAATGGAACGGCAATGGGCCTTTTTGAAGAGGTGTTATGGTCAGTTAGCTGTTTTCTATTTGGAAAAGGCATTAACACTTTTCATTGTCACAAGAGAAGCTATGAGACGAGAAGCCAAAGATATCTAGAACGCTCTATGTGAAAGTGTACTGCAGTGAAGAGGTTTGTTTTTCTCCCTGAAGAGGCTGGTGCGCTCCTAATCATTTGATACAGTGCAGGTTGGAGTGTGTAGAGAGAAAAACCTGACGAGGTGATTTATCTGTATGGATCGGCTGTCAAAGAGATAAATCAAGGGAGGCATTGGCTGGAAACATCACATAGAGCATTGTATGTAGCAGGTCTGGCTCTGGCATCTGGATATATTGCACCATAACTTTTACAACCAAAACATCGGCCTTTGCTTTTGTAAACTGTGAGAAGCCAAAGTTAAAAACATAAAGTGCCACATAACGTCATTTGTATTTTGACAGAAATTGTTTCTAGTATTTCTTTTTTTGCACAGCAGTGTTAACTAAAACTATTAAAAATGATTTGAGTAAACTAATTAAAGCTAAAATAAAATATAAAGAGATGAAAAACAAAAAAATAATTATATATATATATATATATATATATATTATAGAATTATATTTATTATATAAGTGCATAAAATGACTGAAATTTAGACTAAAATTAAAAGATTAAAATTACACTTTCTACAATTAAAAAAAAAAAAAAAACATTTTCCATCCATTGATCGTAAATGTATTTATTAATTTATTTAGTCCTAAATGTCAAACATCATTAATTATTTTTTTATTATTATATGTTTTAGGTATTTTAAATTTAAGAAGACTTAACTGTTCACATTTGTATTCAAATTATTTTAATTATCCTCATATAGGATAAAATAGCGACATCTTATATAGCATGATATTAACCAAATCCCTTTATCCATGAACTAGGAGAATCGTGAGTCATTTGTGTGAAAATAAATAAATAACATGATTCCTGAGTGTACTCTACTCTAACAGGAAATAAACTGTTTTCGTTTCAGAATGAATGATGAGAGACATCGAGCGTTGTTGTCTTTTTAAAGTGCTGGACATGAATGATTTGCTAGTCAAACTTCTGACCAGGGCAAATTAACCTTCGGTTATATAGCGAAGTCAAATACAGCAGGCTGTCATTATGATGGATATCTGCTCTTCTAAACAGGAATGGTGAAGCACAGAACAATCTGTTTATGCTTTTTTCATTAGCAATGGCAGCAAAATGTATTATACCTTGCTCACATCTTCACTTGTATAAAACATCTCAGAGGGAGGAACCTTTACTTGAAATTAGACAGAAAGTTTGTAACATTTTCTGTTAACTATAATGTTACGTTGTGCAATACATTTTCTACTTTATCTTGTCTCAAATTAATTTAATCACAGTTGCAACATCCAATCCACATATTTTCTTTTGAAAACAGCATGCAATATTAGTATTAATCTGTATGCATAGTGCAATGCATTGATAATAGTATGCCAAATGTGTCAAAATGGCAATATACTGTATTCAAAACCTCATTTTGTGTTCTATGGAAAAAAAATGTAAGTTATAAAGTTTTAAAGGGGTCATATGATTCGATTTCAATTTTTCCTTTCTCTTTGGAGTGTTACAAGCTCTTGGTGCATAAAGAAGAAAGTTTTTTGGGCAGTGTTAAGTAGGGCTTGCTGTTTGTCATTTCTCCGATCACAAATGCAGACATGTTTTTTTACGCGTAAAAAGACAGTATAAGTCATTATAATCCATAATTATGTCCCCACTGGATGCAACGAATGCCTCGTTTATAATGGGTTTTCATGTTTTTGAATCATCGCTCCGGCCTGACAGGGCATCATCACAGTATGGTAGGGGCGTAACATTTCCGTCACACGCTTGAGGTATTCGGCCAATCACAACGCACTGGATAGCTGGCCAATCACAGCACACCTTGCTTTTCAGACTTGCTTTTTGTAAAAATCAACACGTTTCAGAAAGGCGGGGCATAGAGGAGAAACAATAATGTACAGTATGTGGAAAATAATGTGTTTT